GTTGGGTGGATATTTTTAAGAACTACTCGGAATCCTCTTCCATTTCTGGGTTTATAGGTATGAAATTCTGTTTGCTTTTCTGTTAGTGCTTTTATTATTGTTGTGTATGTGGAACTTTCCAGGGGTTACACTTTCACTTGACTGTCGTATAATGTTTTCAGCATGTACTTGTGCTGGGTAATAGCATTATCAATTCAACCAGTGGTTTTATATTTTTAACGCCTGATACTAATATGGGTGGTTTCGGTGTTTGAAGATTCTCCTTCCATAGTTTCTTCGTCTGTGAGAGCACTAAATCTGTTGTTTACTGTTACTGTATCTCCTAGCCAATATTCTTGCTTCTTTGATGAATCAGGTTCTTCCGGGTTCCTACTCTTTCTACTGTGTGCAATTTGTTGCCACTGATATTTTGGGTTTGAGGTTGGTATGTATTGTATGTTTAGGTTTGCGGAGTTAATGGATTTATTACAGGAATTTGAGTATTATTTTGTGGCTGACTGCTGTATACTATCGAGTTTTGTGTGTATGCTTGCAGAGGTACTGGTTGTAAAAATGGCGAGTTCGTCGGCATTTGACTATGAGGCAGCGGTGGGAAATTCGAATCTGGCTGGGCTGCTATATACGACCCATAATTGGGCGTATATACCATTTTAACGAGAATGTAAATGCACGTACAGTTTGTTCACTCTTTCAGTTGAAAGATAATGTAGAATTATTAAACTTGACTTAGATGTCGAGTGTATATCACTGATAACTCGAGCGAACAATTGTTACTTGGTAACGAACAATGAAAGTTCACCAGCTTCCGTGTTCACGTGTGTACTCTTCGAGCGTCAGGCGTGTACTGTCCCCTGACCATCTGGGCGAGTACCAGTTGCTCAACAGTAAATATACTTGTACTGGTTTTGCCCGGTGTTCCCCAGTCTGTCTTTTCCGGAGTACGCCCAGTGAAGATGGGTTGGAATAGTAACTTCTGCTGTTAATGGAGTCGAAAAAATGACAGGATTTTGATACATTCAGAATCACCGTAAACGACTATACAAGTATTATACTATATCCATAATACCTTTTATTATGAACTGCACTCCCTACAATAATTGTTGTACTAACATCACAAACTTTCTCTGATTTGGTTCTGTAATCCCTCTAGCAATTCACTGATGGATTATTCCCCTAATCTGGAGAATTCTAAATATATTGTGCAGAAGCTCCCTGACTTATGCAGTCATTTCATACCGGAAGCTGTAGAGTAACTCGAAGTTTGCGTAAGTCGAATTCGTTAGTGCAATATGCTCACCTACATACATGCGTGTTTCTGTATGTTTGTGCTTTGTAGAAGAGAAAATTGAAACTTTGTGTTTCTATATGTTTGTGCTTTGTAGAAGAGAAAATTGAAACTTTGGAAAAAAGTGAAAGTAGTTAGAAAGTCAGCCGGTCACGGTAGCCTAGCGGTTTAAGGCATGTACTCTCTTCGCTCGCTTGGAAACCGGGATCGTAAGTTCGGATCCCACTCAGGGCATGGATGTTTAGTTTGTGTGTGTGCGTTTCTGTGTTTGTGTATAGGTAGAGGCCTTGCGACGAGCTGATCACCCGTCCAAGGAGTCCTCCCGATTGTGTAAGATCTACAAAAACCGAAGTGAACGGAGAAGTTCATGGAGGTAGGCCTAGGCCCACTGGGGCTGTAGTGCCAAGGGGGGGGGGAAATTTGAAAGTCATTGTGAGCTATAAAACTAACATATGACAAAATTTAATGTACATTTTATGCCTTAATGGTTCACTGAAGACGACGGTTTGGCGGTATCCATCCGCGGTTCAGTGTACTTCGTGTTTCCGTACGCAGCACAAAATTTTCATCATCTCCAAAAATGTGTTTGTGTGCATTATGGAACAATATACATAAGGTAGAATTTGCATATTCCCGGGGGCATCTGTAACTGTATTAATCAATCTAGCTCGCAGCCAATCATCCACACACCTTGGAAGTTCATTTTATAATAACGAAATCGGCAAATGTCAATCCGTTTATACACCCTTCAGTAACATTCGTACGAAGGTCAGGAAGTTCACAATGGGGCACAGGAGCTGGAACCCGGGACCTAGAATCTCCCCCCCCCCTCTGACGATTAGGAACTAACACCTCAAGCCTCCTGTGTTAATTGTTTATACTGCGTATAACTTGCACTGCTTGTTTGTTTGTTTAAATGAGTGTGGCATGATTCGAAGAAATTACCTCTTGAGGTGTCTTGCCCAGTCGAAAGTATCGCAAAAAATTATCTACTAAATTACGCCGTTGTTTTAAAATCTACAATCAAGGTTCTGACAACTGCGAAATGGCTATGGGAATATTAAATGCACACTTTTAATTTTAGCTTCAAATAAATTCATTTATTATCCAAACGCTGGAATTCACAATAAAATGACACAGCAGCTTGTGTGTGTCGGCTTCACTTTGTGTCATCATATATGTCACTTGGTATGTGACCCGTGGGGGAATTCCAGTTTCATTAGTATAAGAGTATGTGTGGGAGGGTGTGAGTTGATAATATTACGTGTATTACTGATGGATTGATAACCACACTTACACAAACAGACAACACATGTAGAGTTAGCTATTCAGATGCTTAAAATAACAATAAAACACTGTTAGCTATAGAATGGCCACGCCATAGCTCAAGCAGTTAGTCGCTGGCTTCCTACCGCGGTGGCCCGGTTTCGATCCTGGGTCTGGTCAAGTGGGACTTGTGGTGGACAAAGTGGCGCTGGGGCAGGTTTTCTCCAAGTACTTCGGTTTCCACAGCCAATCTTCATTCCACAAATTGCTCCACAATCACCCTCACCTATCATCTGGGGCTGGTACAATAGGCCCGAAGTGGCCGCAGTACAAGGGACTTAGTCCCACGCCAATAGCATTAAAAAAAATTAGCTATAGAATATCCGAACTTCAGTGCCTGACCTGTTAGCCGCATTTTTAAGGCATAGATTTGAAGTGCACAGATGAGTGAGAATGATACTGATGCAGCAGTATGATAATGCACTGAGATAAGTGTTCGATATCGATATATAGGATGGCCCAATAAAATGTACTCACCCTTTTAATGACACCAAATGCAATGTTCTTTAAAATAGATCATCATCTTCGTTGTTGTCATGCCACCATGGTCACAGAAGCCCTAAATCTCCTGAGTTGGCACTTCGATGATGGGAACATGATATTTTTCCACTATGTCCTGACACCCTCGTTTTTCAGCTTCAAGAGAAGTTCTGTGAATAAATGGACAGAATGATGGGAACCCACCATAACACTTTTGTTACATTTTCGCACCTCACCAGTGCCGAGTTAAGATATCATTGTATAGAATGTTCTGTAAGGCAAGTGCTCTCAGTTTAAACATAATGGATTGCAATGATTTAAGTTTTCCTGTGGTCTCTAGATAATGAGTTCTTGAAATGGAGTAGATAATCTGTGACTGACACCTAGGGTAAGAAACCAGTATTTTCTCAAGTGAACAGGTATTGTGATATCAGCCACAATCAGTCATGTCAACCAAGATTGTCTGCACATGTATGTCTGTTATGATGGATGTTCTCGTTATCGTGTCTGAACTCTAAACACTTTTTACTTCTCCTAAAATTGTTATGAGTTTGTCAGTCAGTGCTCCTAACATTTATGAATTGCAATTTTTACAGCACAAAACTGATGCAATAAAATTGGAACATGCGGCACATGTGCTTCCCCTTATGATGGCTGCACCAACTGAAGATGTTACTGATAAAAAACATTATGATCTTTCTCTTTCATCAACATTTCCTTTAATAAAATGTGACTCAGAGGTGAGCTTGTTTTCCATATGCTTTGTGTTGTAACTAGAAGAGAGTCCTATCATGGCTTATTGGAATATTGTAATTTTGCAGTTCATCATGGACTTCGTTAAATCAGAACCTAATTTGAATAGTGAGGCGTATGTTGCATCATCTTACAGTCATACCGAGATGACTGATTTGAAAGAGGAGAAGGATCCTCTATTAATAACAGGGCCAGTCACACAGGATGAAAATGAGGTAAGCTATTTATCTCTCCATGTACTGTTATGTTCATTTCATAGATACGTGTGAATGCCTTTATGTCAAGGAAGTCCATGTGTTTGTACACATGAATCTGTTTCTTTGTTGATGACTGAATTTTGAAATGGTTTTGTATTTTAAGGTCTTACCAAATATGAGGTTTGAGCTTTTCACAATTGTGAAGATTTATATTTTGACCTCCTGGTTTATGATGCCATGTAGGAGAGTACTGGAGTTGTAGAACTGGGCCAGGCTAGGAAAATGGGTGGTTATGTAGAAGAGGTGAGGGGAGAAAGTAATCATGGAGGACAGGAATGGACAGTCATCCACACTCTGAGACACTCCAAGTCAAAATGATAGTCATCCTCCTCATCTTTGTTGTTGTTATGTCACCATGGTGCCAGTCACAGAAGCCCTAAATCTCCTGAGTTGGCACTTCGATGAAGGGAACATGATATTCTTTCCACTGTGTCCTGACACCCTCGTTTTTCAGCTTCAAGAGAAGTTCTGTGAATAAAAGGACAGAATGGCTGTGGGTTCTCCACTGTCCCCTTAATTGCCATCATTATCATAGAAGACATTGAGGAAGGGGTATTCAACAGGACAATGGATAAGCCCCAGTTCTGATTCTGTTATGTTGATGAAATAGGGCCTAGGGACTGAAAAAACTAAGGTCGTTTGTGGGTAAATAGTATATGACAAACCAGAAGATTGACCATGGAGCTGGAGAGTTATCTCCTTTTCCTGAATATATATATATTGTAGACTTGAAGGCTCTTTGGCCAGAAATTGTACCTGAAGCCAATTCATGCCAACCTCTTTTTGAATGCCAAGCAGCACCACCATCCAGCAACCAAGGTGGCTGTATTTCTTCATTCACCAGTCATTCAACACTATTTAGTCTGAGATACTGATAGCATTATAAAATAAATCATAAGTCTCAGGAGTTTTATATTTATTATTTATTAACCATGATCAATTTGGACAATCTAGGTTCACACTATAGAAGTATCAGAGACTGGAATTTAATAAAGTTCCTTGAAGAGTGGTGATGTTTTTGCTAAGAATTACAGACCAAATGAACATTTGAAATGTTACACTTAAAATACGTGTACTATAGAGTCCTTTTGAGACAGTACCTACCAGAGAAACACAATCAGCTTAAAAAAAAATAAGTGCGGGCTGTCCATGGATATGAGCTCTGCAGTGTGGGTTCTGTAAAATAAAGTATGACTCTTACACTGACAGCTACACATATAACAATTACAGGATCTACTGGGAAATCGGAAGGATTCAACACAAATTGGAATATCAATAATTTCTTCTTATCTACCAAATTATTGGACAGTTTACATACAGAGGAAATACAAATGATGGTATTGTCAGATGAAATCTATTATAAATGCCTGACATTCAGATGGGGGTGAAGGGTGATTTAATAGTCCTAGTTTGGGGTTACAAATTGGACAAATTTATTGAAAAATATGCATCATCCTGCAGTGGAGGTTAATTTTATGATGATAATGGTAATGCTCTGAAACCAGCAATGGTACAAGACTGTATATAAGGGACTCATAGAGCTTATGACTGCATGACAGTTTCTTGATTAACAAAGAGGCCTGGGAAATTGATGAAAAGAACTGTTTGTCTACCACCTGAACCTTCCAGTTCTGACCAGTTTTATCTTTCTTGTGGCCCAAAATTATTACACACAAGTTTCAAACTTCCTTTGATCATGGGCCTGACAGAAAAAGGAGACAGAACACTTTGAGCTTAGAGCACCCCAGGGTGACAACCCAATTCATCAACCAGCTGATCCATCTTTATATCTTCTTCTTCTATGGCGCAACAGCCTGATGTCGGGCCTTAGCCTCCCTTATCAAGCCCCTCCATTCCTCTCTATCCTGCGCTGCTCTCTTCCAGTTCCTTACGCCCATTAACTTCTTTGCATCTTCTTCCACCACATCAATCCATCTAGTTCTTGGTTTCCCAGCACGTCTCCTACCACCTAGTGTACTGTATAATATTTTCTTTGGGATACGCTCCTTAGCCATTCTCTGTACATGCCCAGCCCATTGCAATCTTTTAAGCTTTATGGTCACTGAGATCTCTGGCTCCTTACATAATTTGTATAACTCTTTATTATATCTTATTCTCCATATCCCATTCTCTTTTATTGGTCCATAAATTCGTCTTAGGATTTTCATCTCAAAAGAATTGATGACTGATTCCTCTTTCTTGTTTAGCGTCCATAATAAAGCACTGGTCTTATCATTGTTTTATATATTTTTGTTTTAATCGCTCGGTATATATCCTTTGATCTAAAAACTGATAGTAACGAGAAGTATGCATTATTCGCTAGTTTTACTCTCCTTGTTATTTCATGATTTTCCTCACCATCTTTGTGGAATTTCGATCCTAAATATATGAAGTCTTCAACTATTTCTATCCCATCCCCTTCCATGTTAATTTCTCCAGTTTGCCTTGGATTCCTTCTAGATTGTATCAGCATTTTAGTTTTATTTACATTCACCTCTAAGCCAGTTGTTTTTGCCATGGTTTTTATTTCTTTATATGCCTCCTTCATTGCTCCTAGGGATCTCGATACTATAATAATATTATCCGCATACGCCATTATTTGCGTTTGTTTATACGCTATTGTGTTCCTTGTGTCTACATTACATTTCCTCACTATATATTCCAATACCAAGTTAAATAATGATGGTGCCAAACTGTCACCCTGTTTTAATCCTTGATTTGTCTTAAAGCATTCTGTTAACTGGTTCTGGATTTTAACTTGATTGATTGTTTCTGTCATGGTTAAGTTAATTATTCTACTTAGTTTTGTTTAATACCAAAAGTGGACATAATCATCCTTAATTTCTTCCTTATTATTGTATCATATGCTTGTTTAAAATCTATGAAGCATAGGTAAATATCTATATTAAATTCCCAGCATTTCTCCGTTATTTGTCTCAGGGTGACCTATTGGGTCGAAATCCTGATTGATATTCCCCTATTATTTTTTCTATATATGGATCCAGTCTCTTTTTTTAGTATCCTTGTTAAAATTTTATATGCTGTCAGTAGTCATGATATACCTCTATAGTTACTACATGTTAATTTATCCCCTTTCTTAAATATGGGATATATAATGCTCTTTCCCCAATCTCCTGGTAGCTTTTCTTCTTCCCACACTTTATTTATAATTCTGTGTAGTGCTATTATTCCTTCTTGTCCTCCTGCCTTCAATAATTCTGCTGGTATGTTATCTCCTCCTGGTGCTTTATTTGGTTTTTTTTCCTTTAATGCTTCTTCCACTTCTTCTTTTGTTGGAGGCTCTATTATCTCTTCCTCTTCCCCTTCTCCATCATCTGTACTTTCTTCTTCATTGTCCTCGTTATCTTCCATATTCTGATTTTGATTTAATAATTGTTCAAAATATTCTTTCCATGTATTCATAATCTCTGTTTTATTATTTATTAGAAACCCTTCTTTGTCTCGGATAAATTCTGTTTTTGGTTTGAAACCTTCTTTCATATATTTGATTTGACCAAAGGCATTTTTTGTTTTGTTATTTTTGAAGTCTTCTTCCAGTTGCAGTAATTGCTCATTTAGAAAGGCCTGTTTCTTTTTCCTGCAAATCTTGTCTGCTTTCCTTCTTGCTTCTTTATATGCCTCATTCCTTGCTCTTGTTGGTCTTTCCATATATTCCATATATTTCTTATTCTTGAAGTTTATACTCTCCCTACATTCCTCGTCAAACCGTTCTCTATTATACTGTTTCTCTTGATATTCCAGAGTCTTGTCAGCTTCTGTAATTATTGCAGTTTTAAAATCTCACCATATCCCTTCTACCGTTACTTCATTATTTGCTCTATTGTCATTAATTTCTTTAATTTTATTTTGAAATGCTTCTCTCTTATCACTCTCCGTAATCTTGTCACTATTAAATTTCTTACATTTCTCATACTGCTTAGATCTTTGACAACTTATTTTACATCTATATTTGACCTGTACTAAATAATGATCACTATCACAGTTGGCCCCTCTTAATGTTCTTACGTCCAGGATATTCGTCGCAAATCGCTTCTTAATGAGGACATGATCTATTTGATTGAAGGTTACCCCATCCGGTGCTGCCCTTGTCCTTTTATGTATATCTTTGTGTGGGAAGTATGTAGAGCTGATGATCAAGTTCTTACTTTCTGCAAAATCTATTAATTTTATTCAATTATGGTTTGTTGTCTCATGTAAACTTTCTGACCCAATTACTCCTCTTCTCTTTACCTAATTTGGCATTAAGATCCCCTAAAATAACCTTTATGTCATTACTTGGTATTGAATCATATGTCTCTTCCATTTGTTGATAGAAATAGTCTTTGATTTCCTCCTCTTTTTCTTCTGTAGGTGTGTGCATGTTCATCAACGTCATATTGAAAAATTTCGTTCTTATTCTCAAAGTGCAAATTCTTTCACTTATTGGTTTAAAGTCTATTATTGCGCTTTTAAATTCTCGTTCTATTACAAAGGCTACACCAAATTCCTTATTGCCTTCTGCTTTATCACTGTAACATATAGTATGTTTCTTCAAGTCCATGATTCCTTTACCCAGCCATCTAGTTTCCTGTATGGCTGTGATTTTCATATTGTACTTATCTATCTGTTCTATTACCGATTTCATGGCACCCAGTTTATTGAGGGTTTTCACATTCCATGTACCTAGAGAGTAGTCCATATTCCACACAGTAAATACTAACACAGAGGGAGACAAAATGCAGTGTCATGCGAGTCTAGCAAATGTTTGAGGTAGACCATCAGCAGCAGCAGCAGCAGCAGCAGCAAAGGATAAACAGAATAGCACCATTAATAGTGATCCATCACACTAGCTGGCTACTTTCTGAACATACCACTCAAATTTCCAACAATAAAGGAAGTTGAAAGCATCATTAAATCCCTTAAATTTAAAAATCCATATGGATATGATGAAATATTCACTAAATTACTTAAAATCAGCTCTGCTTATATTACCTCACTTCTGAATCATATATGTAATTCATTCCTTTTATCAAGGGACTTTCCTCAATACCTAAAGTACTCTATAGTAAAACTCTTGTCTAAAAAAGGTGATAGAATGGATGTTTCCAACTACAGACCAATATCCAGACTGACCTCTTTATCAAAAATCGTTGAAAAAGTAATATATAACAGACTACTTGAACATGTATTCATAACAACATACTAGTGAAAGAACATTTTGGATTTAGGAAAATTCTAACAAAGAAATGGCAGCCTGTGAACTAAGCACTAAAATCATAGGTGCCTTTGATAAAAAATGACTAGTTAGGCAGGATCTTTGATCTAGCTAAAGCATATGACTGCATTAATCGTGACATGTTGCTGCTGAAATTAAATTTATATGGAATAACTGGTAAGGCCAATAATTGGATTAAATCGTACCTTGTGGATAGATATCAAAGAGTGGAAATAAAAACATAAACTTTAGTCAGCAGATAACCTCAGAATGGGTATGACTATGAGGGGTGGGTCATAAAATCAGGCCCTCCCACCATGTCCTTCAATGATATATTGTGCTTCCCTTTTGAATTAACCCTTTATTAGTCCTACACTTTTAATGAAATGTAGGGCTTTATTTATGGGGGCATCATAAAAGTCAATTGGTTCCATGAAAAACTGACCCAGGTGGCGAAATCTTAAGTAAGCTATAGCCTCACAATCACATGGGATGTGTGTGGCTGATTCATCTTCATGTATGCACCTTTCGCAGGTTGGGTCATCTGTCGGTCCCAGTTTGAAAATGTGCCCTTTTAGGTGGCAATGTCCAGTAAGTAATCCTACCACCCATCTTAATTGATCTCAGTTTAATTTCAACAGGTCCCTCGTTCTCTTGGTAGAGGGTCCTGATATAAATCCTTTTGCCTGTTTTAGTCCAGTTGTGTATTCTCAGTGTTTTTTTGTGATTTTTATTTGTCTAGTCCCTGATCGCTTTCTTGGCAATTCCAATTGAGATGCCACAATCTGGTTCAGGTCCTATGGACGGCTGTTCAGATCCTGTTCTTGCCAGCTGATCTGCGGTTTCATTGTCAGTAATACCCTCATGGCGTGGCACCCATATCAGCTGAACTGTGTTATATCTGGCCAGTTGTGTGAGGGACTGGCCGCAGTCCCAGACAATTTTGAAGTGATATGGTGTG